AATTATTTCAGCACATCAGCAACATGAAGGAGAAGCTGAGATATAATTAAAGGTGTTTTTAATTCATCTATTCCATTGGCATGTCCTGTTTCGTCTGCATTGAATGCAAAATAAGGTCACATTTGTTTTAGTGCTCAAACCATGACTCTGAGGTTTCCTTTTGTTTATTGGGATAATCCACCATGCTCTTATAGGGAACTTGTCCTGTGAATAAGACTAAGAGCTCCAGGAGCTGAGAGTTCAAAATGGCTAATTTAAAGTTAAATAGTTAATATCGTCTCACCTGAAAAGAAACTACTTAGTCTGTTCAGTCCACAAAAGGGCTCAGCTATCTGATGTTTGTGTTGCTTTACATCAATGCAAAAACTGTAAAGTTCAGTTATCCAAAATAAGACCTATTTTGTTTTCGATATTGCTACAGTACAAGACAGATCCCATTGACAGTTCTAAGAGATTATTAGGGAGTGGCAGAAGATCATCTCTCTCCCTTTCTCTCTCTCTTACCCTTTATCTCTTTTTCTCTCTTTCACACATACACACATGCACATCCAGACACACACACACACCTATCCTTGGATCCCTTGGGTCCAATATGTCTGAACTTCTGATATGACATCACCTGTGGATGCAGAGCTTCTGGTTAATACACACACACACACACACACACACACACACACACACAACAGACAACATACACAACACACACACACACACACACACACTTTGTCCCTAAGGAATGTCTATGGTGCCCAGGTGGCTGGATTAGCAGGTGCAGCAGCCACTCTATGCCCAGAACCCCTTTCTTGGCTCTTCTCTTCCCTGGAGAGCTTGGAAACCCTGAGCTTGTATTCAAGGGAGTTGAGCAAAACCTTGAAAATGAAATAGGCAAGAGGAGATGAGCACACTAGGAAAGCAGACACAGTGTGACCAAAGCTGGAGTAGCAAAATACCCAGAGCCACAAGCAAGCTTCATTTGGCTGAATACAGAATTCAGGCAGGGTTGGGGAGGTGGGAGATATAGTAAAGCAGTGCCATTGTGGGTTCAAATACTAGGGGGCTGAAGGGAGTACAGAGTGGTCAAGATTTAAATACAGTTATTATTGACTCAGAATATGACAAACAGACACCCTATAAAGGTGCCATTTATACCACATTTTATTTGTCAGTTTGACTTGCAGTGCTGGGGATCAAACCCAGGGCCTCATACATGCTAGGCAAGTGCTCTACGACTGAGCTACATCCTCATCCCATTATACCACACTCTAGACTTGAAAACTAGAAACCATTGCCACCACTTTAGTGTCCTACAGATTAGTGGCACCAGGGTATCCCTAGCAATCCACAATGGCACATGAAAATGAATTCATCATCTTGAGCCTCAGGTGATGCACTGAGGCCACCACTGCTCTGTGGGACATGGATATGGTGGGGGAGGGGCACCTGAGTCTGAAATGTGGTAGGTGCCCTGCAGCCATATTACATCAAATGCTCTTTTAAAAAGTAAATCTTAATGTCTGGGAAAGGGTACAGTAATCAAGGGTGAACTTTTGGCAGAGGCCAAAGATGTGGTTAATTCTGTCATCTAATATTTACAGAACAATCCAGGTAGCCAGAGTCACACCCTTGGGGAGAATCAAGTACCTAAAGAGGCACTGCCTTGGGATTACCTTGTCTGCACCTTATTTCCCATTATTGTCTTGCTATTTTATCTTAATATTGAAAACTGCAATGCCCACATTACCTTACGAATTTCAGAAAATGCCCAGGTGTGGAGAATGTGCTCAGGAGGAATGGGAATTTCCTCTCTACTTTCAAAGCCCAATAAATTATAGTCAGGTTCTACCAAGAATTTACCCTTCCAAGAACCTGTCGTAGCTCTGCCACTAATTCGCTAGGTGCTATTGAGCAAGTTACTTTGCTTGTTTAAATTTAGTTTAATCTGTAATATCGGAGGTAATGAGTTGCTGTGGCAAAGACTATGTGTTTGCCAAATTGCTTCCTTTTCTTGCTATAACCCTAGTGGACATTTCTAGCTTCTCTTGCAGCTAGGTAGGCCATATGATTGAATTTTGGTCTGTGAAATGTGGGCAGAAGTAATGCATACCATGTTCAGGGCTAGACCTTAAGAAAACCCTCTGTAGGATCCTTGCTTTGTGCACTTTCTCCCTCTCCCTTCATCTTCTAGCAAGATGCAGAAGATCCATTGGAAGATTCCAAGGTCCTAGGGAGAGCAGGATTACTCAAGAAGGGACCTGAGTCCCTCCCATTCCTCCTGCTCATCCCGAGGCATGAGTCAGAAAAGAGCTCAATCATTACAATATTAAGACATTGAGATTTGGGGATGTTTCTTATAGCAACTAACATATACTGATTGATTATAACAATTGGAACTTTCAAGCAAGATAATTCACTTATAAACTCAGTGTCAGGCACATGTTAAATGTTAGTAAGTAAGAGCCATTTGTTATATCTACCTTGCTTTAGGTATGTGAACTTTTCCCATTTTCCCAGTGTTATTTTTTTGTTGTTGTTGTTGTGTTTTGATCCGGTGACTAAGGCATCTTTGGATGCCTAGTGCTGCTTTGTCTTTAAGCCTGATCACAATGTTAATGCATGGCTTCTCTGTGGACCTTGCTTTTCTAATAGCATTTCCTTGCAAAAATATGGGGGAGGGGTTAGAGGGGATGTTTCTATTGACATGATAATGGTTCTGAAATGAGTCAGAAGCATGAGGCAGTCCAACTGGCACGGTTCTTCACAGCTCCATTTTTGCTTTCCCTGTCTTTCTGTATGAAGGCTACAGGGCTGAGAGTTAAATTGGTTTGAGAGCTGACTCGATGAGCAGCACAATCTGCTCCACTGGAGAAAACATTTCACAAAAACTGTTCCTGCCGAATTTTCGTGCCACTTCCAAATTTTAATTAGAAACTGGAGGACCAGATGGGTAGCAAAAGGAATTTAAGGTAACAAGGGAGCAAGTGCTTCTACACGGAGGTTAGGTTCAATAACCATGTGACCAGGTGGTCACTAACCGGGGGCTCCCCTGGTGGCCCTCACACATCTCCATGCAGGTCAGCAATGCCTGAAGTTGATCATAGCAAGCCTTCCCCATCAGACATCACTTTTTAATGATCTTTCTTTACACTGTCACTTCCCTGCATGGCGGGGTTGTAGGTATGGACCACAAGGCTCCATGAAAAGATCTGCAGGAGATCACACAACTGATAAAGGACAGAGCAAGAACATTCTCACAGGTCCGGCTTTAAGTTTCTTTCTACCACGTGACTATTGTCTCTGCTCCCATTAAAGCTTCATCTCTTTGGTCTAAATGTATTCTAAGTAACTGGCCATTCAAAGGAAATTTTACCTGGATCTTATTATATAACTGGAGTTCTTCTGCTGAGGGGTTTAATGGGAAGGTGAGGCAGGAAGAAAGGGGAGTTTGGAGATAGAGGCAATGTTCAAGTAAACAGCCTAAAAGTATTTAGGCTAAAACATACTTGGGGAAGGATTAAACTCCAGGGATTGAGCTCAGGGGCACTTGACCACTGAGCCACATCTCTAGCTCTATTTTGTATTTTATTTAGAGACAGGGTCTCACTGAGTAGCTTAGCGCCTTGTAGTTGCTGAGGCTGGCTTTGAACTTTGGATCCTCTGCCTCAGCCTCCCAAACTGCTGGGATTATAGGCCTAGGCCACCATGCTTGGCCTAAAACATTTAAATGCAAATATTTGAATGCTCTACTTAAATGCATATAGCCTGGGAGGAGCCACTGTAATTAATCATACCTTGTATCCTACTGGGTCATTTCTTTTTTTGTTCTTTTTTTAAAATTCTTTCTATCATTTTTTAAAAATTCTAATTTGTTACATATGACAGCAGAATGCATTATAATTCATATTACACATATAAGCACAATTTTTCATGTTATCTGGTTGTACACAAAGTATATTCACACCATTCGTGTCTTCATACCTGTACTTAAGGTAATGATGTCCATCTCATTCCACCATCTTTTTTACCCCCATACCCCCACCTTTCCCCTCCCACCTGGGGTTATTTCTTATCACCTAAATCAAGGAGATAGAAACAGGCCCAGATTAAAGGACTCAGTGTGTAGTGAAATCAGGAGATAAGGAGGAGAAAAGGGATAAAACCAAATCTACATGTTATTTTAGGTTTTCTCTTTCTATGGAAGAATTCAAAACCTTCTGTGGCAAATAGATTAGATTTTGTGCTTCTCAAAGATTGGTGTTTTAAAACTACTAATGCAGAAACCAAGAAAATCTACAATTAAAAAGTTGGGGGCGGGGGGAGTGGAATCCCAATCCAAGAAAGCTTTAAAGGCCTTAAAGGGGATCTTTATGTTTTTAAAAAAGTTAGAGTTCCTTATACTTGTCAAAAGATACATTTTGAAAAGTCAACAATATGATCTTTATATAAACATGGCGTGAACATGTGTCAGAGATGTATTCAGCTCATTAGTGAAGAACGGTGAAGTTGGATTCCAAGGAGAATTAGAGTCCCTGGAATTATACGGGCATTAGAGAAAGAATGTTGGAATAAAATGAAAACTGGTTACTGGCCCACAAGCCATAGAACCATAACGTGGAGGATTATCTTTCAGACCTTTCAGAATTCATTTACATCTCTTCTGGACGAAAGTCCACAGGGTCATGTGTAACCTGTCTGAGCCTTTAATCCACAGTAAAAAGAAAATCAAAGGTCCACTCCTTGGCCTCCGTAATTAAATAACCCTTGGGCAGGCTTATGATGCTTAATGATGCTCCACTACGACACCAAGAGGACTTGCTGTTGTCGATTTCCCTTCTTTCCAAGTTTTGAGTCTTCTTGGCTCAAGTTGGGCTCGGGTCAAAAATCTAGTTCCAATTCTGAGTTGCCTTTGGATACATGAGTGTGTTCAAACAAGGGAAAAAGCGGAAGGGGAGAATATTTGTATTACTTGCTAGAGCTGCCATAGCAAAACACCAAGACTTGGGTGGCTTAAATAACAGAAATTTATTTCCTCACATTTCTGGAAATCGGAAGTCCAAGACAGAGGTGGCAGCAGGGTTGGTGTCCCCTGAGGTCTTTCTCTGGTGCACATGCAGTTGCTTTCTCCTGGTGTCCTCACAAAGCTATCCTTCTGTGCATGTGCATCCCTGGTTGCTCTTCCTTTTTCTCTAAGGACAGGGACAACAATCCTATCACATTAAGATCCTGCTCTTATGACCTCATTTAACCTTAATGACTTCTTTAAAGTTCCTCTCTCCAAATACAGTCACACTAGAGGCTAGCGCTTCAACGCATGAATTTGGGGAAGATACAATTCAGACCATAACAACATTTATTTAGCACTTTCTTTGTGCCAAGAGCTTCCAATTGCACAACTGTCTTGATTGCTCACCCCAAAATGAAGGTTGGGGGGTGCATTTTACAAATGTTGTCAGGGAGCTTAGGTCACTGCCCAAGATCGCCAACCAGGTAGCAAGCAGCAAACTACCTGGGGAGATCATGTCACAGGGAGTCAGGAGGTAACAAGGTTATTTGTGGAAGCCCCAGGAAGGTCCCACAATCCTACAACTTGCTTTTATTTGTTATTTGCTGTAATCCTCTTACTCTGAAAGGGAAAAGATCCTGGGGGAGTGTCCTCCTGGGCAGCTTTGTTTGGGAAAGCCATGGGCATAGCCAGTGTTGTAAGAATGACGGCTCCAGAGACCACAGAGAGTGGTGGAAATCTACCACTCTGCTGCCCCAATTCCTTGAAGTAGCAAGGTGGAAGAGAAGAGGGGACAGGCAGCTGGCCTGTGGCTGGGATTGGTGGGACCAGCAGTCCTGGTAAGTTGGATTCTGATAAGTTGGGGAAACTATCTGAGGGGCCTCTCTCCCTCCTTCATGCCCTTCTCCCACTCTTCCCTCAGTGCCTGACTCCATATCAACTGACCTACTGAGCTCCTCTGCAGCCAGCACTACCAGGTGCTGGAGGATTTAAGCTCTTACCAAGGATCTCCTTCTCTATTCCACCCAAAGTCTCTTTTCTGGGAATAATAGTGTCTCTCACTCCTGGAAAAGAAAAAGGAAAATAATTACCCTTAATAAGAAATGACCAAATGACCAATTATAGTTTCTTGGGTTCAAATCCTAGACCTGCCATCAGGTAGGTTTATGAACTCTTTATTTCATTTCTTTTCTTACTGACATAGCAATTATACCAACCTCAAGGAATTGTCATGAGAAATAAATGACACAGTGAAATATATACATGTAAAGATTCTTAGCACCATGCTTGATGGACATGTGTGGCTTATTCTCAGCACCATGTGTGGACATGGCCCAGTGAGTCATGACACCTTACTCTTCTTCCACTTTATTTCATATTTGTCATTATTCTCTTTGTTCCCTAGAGATTATGTCTCAAAAACCCTTGGTCATCTTTGTGAGAATTTGGAGGTGAAGGAGGAAGGAAGTTTCCCGGCTCCCTTCAGGGGCTGAACATGGAAGGAATACTGTCCGCTGCCCAGTCACCTGACTCGAGTGGTTGCCTGACGTGTGCAGGGAAGCTGGGCCCTGGGGAGGCTTCCCTGATGGACCACGGCAGGGGCAGAGCCCTTTGTGGTTAGTGTAAACTTTCCTGACACCTTAGTCAAGATTTTGTGCTGCTGTTGCTGCTGCCCCAGCCTGAATGTCCCTTCCCCCGACTTTGTGTCCTCTTGATTAATTGCTTGTTTGCTCCACTGAACCATGTGGGCCTTGAAGGCAGAGATTCTGTGGGCTTTGCTCCCTTCTGAATGTTCAGTGCTAAGCTGACTCACATGGAGGACACACACACACACACACACATACACACACACACATGTTGAATGAATGAACTGAGATGACTGTGCTGTGCAAGAAATAAGAAGTTTAGTTCATTATTTTAAAAATAATTAAACTAAAAACAAGACTCAATTTCAGACTTCCTTAGCTCTTATGGTTAAACGTTGGGTGGGTAACACATCACTTGGACAAGGCCCGTGTCTATCACAACTGACTCTCACACAGACCCCAAAGAACAACGAAAGGAGAGGTTTTCCTGGCAAGACTCTCACCCATGAGAGTACTGCTGCTCATTTGAGTGACCTCTGAAGCTGTCTCTCCTCCAGAACAGGGACTGAAGGAAATGCTGCCCCTGGGCTGTGATCCCTCAGGGATCTGGGATTTCCTCTTGCAGTAGAATTAGGGCACCTCTTACACAGGCCTGGGCCTCAGGGGTGTAGTCTTGGCCAGAGAGGTCCCCATTCCAAGTCGGTTCTCACGGCTCCTCAGGCCTAGTTTCATCTCTCACCCAAGTTCCTCTGTCATTCTGCCAGTTTCAGGAAGGGGCTTTATAGGAAGGGGAATGATGGAGAGGGGGAGGATGATTGGAATAAGGATGGCTCCTTCTGTGCTAAGCACTTTCTTCCACTATCTCACTTCTCATCATCACTGTCCTGAGAGGGCACTAGCAGACCCCAGGCCACGGATGAGGAAGCATAATATAAAAAGTTACCCAAGGACAGCAAAGCCTGGGTGCCACACTAGACTGCACCCTACTGCACAGGGATGACTCAAGGATGCCCCAAGAGCCTCTGGGGCCAGGTGGGGTCTGACTTAGTCATTTTCTTGCTTCAACCATCATAAAATCAAACAATACTTTTCAGCTGTTTTGTATAATTCTTGTTTCCCACAGGAAGGCACTGGAGAACTGTTTGTAATATCACACATATATAATGAAGAAATCACATGGTAAGTATTTTGGAAATTAACACAAGTCAGTTCGAAGAAAAAAAAAAAAAATGGTCTTGGGAATGTTATTTAACTTCCCTAAGCTCCTGTTTACTCATCTGTGCTGTGGGCACAGTAATGTCTTGCTTACCAGGTGGATGAAAGGATCAGTTGAGACGATGCACAGAAAGTGCTTGGCCCTTAGGAGGCCCCTCAGGCCTGCCTGCCTCCAACTCCCTGGCTTCAAGGCTGGGAGCCGTAGGCAGTGCCACACATGGGGCCAGCCATAGTGCTGGTGTAGAATCCTGGTGCTTCCCTGCCATTAACACCCATTCCTGCCCTGTGCCCGCAGAGCACAAATCCCGTGGTCAGAACCAGTTCTGTCATTCCCTTGCTATTTTCTGGGGTCAAATTCCGAGCTTCTTGAATCACATTTCTACTGAAACTGATGCCGTGAATCACAGGCCGCAATGGAAGTCTCTTGTTCTTCCAGAATGAGAATATACAGCCAAGCAAAACAAAACAGAATGCTTCTAAAGGGATAAAGACAAAAGGCTGAAATCCAACATCATGAAGTTCAAGTTTCCAAAGCATGAAAGTCTAGGTGCAAGATTTTCCTTTTAATTTCAGAATCTCAAGCCAAAAAACAAACACAAAATTAAAAAACAAGGCAGTTAAAGATCTCCTTGAAAGACTGAAGGAGTGAGTACCTCTTTTTTTTTTTTTTTTTTAATGACCACTAAGAACTATCTTGGGAGTAACTGAGACATAAAATAGGAGAAAGAGGATAATCACATTTTTTTACTTCATATTTTAATAGCTAAGCCTCACTCTGTGGCAACACCTCTCTGAGTCACTGCTTTTCATTAGTACCATCCCAAAATATATATTTCAGCTAAATGATTTTCACTTTGCCCATGATTTAGAATTACATTTATCCTGTTCCCTAATGTTTTCCGGATAAGATGTTTTGTTCAAGTCTAACCCATGGGAAGGGCGATCTTTTATGATCATTCTTGAGTTTTGGGTGCTTAGTTCTGATAAAATTTAAATATATTTCCAGAGAAAATACTAAATTGTTAAAATCATACTTTATAAAAAACATTCTGGGATCATTTGATTCCATACACTGTTGGTTTAAACTTTTTCATGTGTGTATTAGTTAATGGCCTATATCAACCATACAAAATGGGGAAAACAAAGAATCTCCAAATCTCTGTTTTTGCAAGGAATTTCCCTTTGCTGGAGAGAGAAATTAGGAAGTCATAGAATGTTAGCGCTATAAAAATGGAGAAACTG